CCGCAGGTGCCGGCGGCTCCCCAGGTGAAGGGAGGCCGGGCGCCGTCGTTTCTCAGCCGAGGGGCGTCCTGTTGAAAATGCTCTGTGGTTTTTGAACTTCAGGTCATGAAATGGCTTCAGGCGAACCGGAGACCCCGAAAACGGAAACGGAGGGAGAACGAAGAGGTGTTTGAAAAGGTAGGCGTTCCGCTAGGACCTGGCTCGGTTGAGGTCTTGATAAATCGTAACCTCTGCCCCCGAGTACTTGGCCACGACAATGGAGTGCCTAAAGAAAAGTTTTTATTCAATTTACAGTAAGCCGTGGATTTAACTTATGTGGCTAGTTCTCTAAAAATACTGGCTGCTAATCCTGATGATCACCAGCGTACTGTTTCTCAAGAACTAAGAACGATTGGGGTAGAGATTTGTTCATGCTGTTTAAGAGAGCAATAGTATTGTAGCGGTTCCATTATTATATTAGGCCAGTAGTATTCTGGGACATCTGAAAAACTGAATAAAAAATGCTGAATGAAGTGCCCACAGTTTTAGGTTTCTGTGTTAGGTTGTGATAGACAAAGTAACACACTCACTCCTCTAGACTTTAAATTGGAATCATTTTAAAGTGGAGAGAGGAGATGAAAGAAATGGGGTTACTTTTGCAACATATGAAACATTTTTATTTATTGTAAAGCAAATGAGAAATTTGTTTTCCTAATTTCAGAATTGTATTACCTTACCCTTTGTAGAAGTTTGGATTGTGTATTTTCTCCTGAAATTGTGTGAAGTTGAAACTTGGTTTGTCATTGTAATAAGTATTATGAACTAAGGTAAGTAAGTGGTCTGTTGTTTAAGTGACTTTTACGAAGAATGGTTAAAAGCCAATGATGTTTTGGTAAATACGACAGCAGATACGATGTTTGTTGCTTCTGCTTAATTCTGTTTCACTGTTTCTTAGTTCTCAGTAGCACCAGGGGATTAAAATAGTGGTGTGTTTTTCTGCTGCTAGAATGTATGATGAATCACCCCAGAGTCTGGCACCACATTCTTGCTGATAACATGGCTGCCAACTTCTGTGATGTGTTGCCTTAGTATGGGCATTGCAGTGTCTGCGAATGTGCGCAAAGCACGTTATAATGAAGGGGATACCGACGTTTCAGAGTGCATTTGAGGATACCCCAGGGCGGCTTCTAGAGAGCTGGAGAAAGCTCTGATCTCGGAGTGTAGTCGTTTGTACGTTCAGTTTGTGTGAAAAGTAGTACCCCAACCCTTTCCTTTTAAACACAGTCGTATATGTCACTTTAGTAAGCAGTAATAGAAAAAGTGACACTGAACAGACTCGACTTTTCTGACAATACCTCAGCAGGCCCTGGTAAGTTGTCTTTGTTTAACTTAGATGGTTTAGGTGCTTTTTAAATATCTGTGAGGTGATGCATAAGATTAGAAACTGTCCAAAGAAGGAAGAAAATTATGGCTAACTTAGTATTTTTTGAAAACCACGTGTGGCTGTTATTTCTTTAACCACAAATAAGATTACTGAAATAACAGTCTATCACACAGAAAAAGGGGAAACCATTGTTTGTGTGGATTACTATTGTCCCTACCAAAATCTGAGCTAGAATTAACATTATCTGTGACACCATGACCTAACCACTTCCGAGAATTTGTGGGGAGGTGGAGGGCTCTGGGGATTTTACCTTCCAAGGAAATGGACATGCCTCGCTCAACCATTTCTCCTCCATAAACCTTGTTTTGCTAGAATTTTGGGAGAGAACACACCCCTGACTTTTCTCCTTAGAAGAATGTGAGCATTTTTAAGGAGAACGCAGAAATGAAGTAGACAGGGACCCACATTCAGAATTTCCTTTCAAGGGTTGAAGATTAGAGCTGACAACTTTAGAGGGTGCAGATGGAAGGGATAAAAGGAAGAGAAATTTCAGAATGGAATCAGACTGTTCATTATCAGTGTCCTCAGTCTTTTCTCCTGGCTCTGGGCAGCAGCAGCACCCAGTCCTTTGCCCACTGTTTTGCCTCTGCCGCCCCAGGAGGAGTTTAGGAACCTGCTGGGCCAAAGCGTGCAAGTTTTCCAAAGAACCAGGTGGACAGGAGTGAGATCTATGACCAAGGGCATTAGAAAGTCACAGAAAGTACTTCTGAAAGGCCCAGAAGCGATCCTGCAGCTAAGCGATCCCGCAGCTGAGATCCCGCAGCTGAACAGTGTGGCTCCTTTGTGTGGCTCCTATTTTGAACTACATGTGGATTTCTGTGGTAATGAGTATTCAGTCAAGGTTAACCTTTTGTTAGGACTCGAACATATTATTATTAGTAGGAACCTAGGTAACTGGCTTACTAGTAACGCTAGTAAGTTATTTTTTAAATGTCTACCATGCCACGTGGAGAAGCAGATTGTTCAGTTGCTCCTTTTTTGTATATCCACTAAGTTTTTCTTCATTAAAATAAAATTTCTGTATTCTCTGCTTTTGTTCATTTTATATTACAGTAAAAGAAGGAAATGCATTTTGACCATGTCTGGCAGGTCCACTTTGTAAATGTACTCATTGCCTTTGTTTGCCTGCGTTGTTTTCCTCACCCCCATGCCTCTCCACGCCCTGCCTTTCCTCCATCCCCAAGTGTCTGGGGCTTCAGGCCTTTTCCAGGATCCACCTAGATGAGTGCATTTGGTGAAGCAGTCTGTCAGCCATGCTAGGGCTTGTAACAGGTTTCCACTGATGGGAGGGAAACCTTCACTGCCCTGTGGAAAGCAGAGCCATCTGACCTGCCTGAGAAAGAAGAGCAGAGCAACAGTGAAAGGCCAGACTTTGACGACCGGCACGGCCAGGCGAGGAACCACATAGGCCAAAGGCATCTTAGAGATGTTTGTTCTCCCCCTAAGAAAATCTCCACGGTGCTGAATGGTAGACACTGCCTGATGGAACTTGAAATACTAGTGGAGTTTTTCAGTGAATTCAGTAGGGGAACAAAACAAACTTATGCTGTGTGGGTTAACATAACGAATAATGAAATAAAGTAAATTGGGTGAGTGAGATGTACCACTCAGATAAGGGATTTAAAACGCTCTCCTGGTCTTTCCCAGCTTTTCCCCCTTCTGCTTTGTGTCATTCCCACCCACCAGAGAGCTGCCTTAACAGGTTTGCATTTCTTATGCTGAAGCTGCATCATTCTCTCTTACGCATCTTCTCCTATCTTCTCTGACATTTATTTCCATTTTGTTTTAGCTTCATATTTCAGCACTTTTGGCACTGGTAAAACTGAATTCTTTTATGTTGTCTTTCATTTTCTTTATTTGAAGTGACAAAAGTCACCTTTTTTTTCTGCTTCTGGTCCTCAGGTATTTTCTCCTTCCCTTCGGATACCTTCCATTATTTCAGGTTCCTTTGATTTAGTTTGAATAGTTTTTGCAACAGAAAAAGAAGGGAAAACATGACTGACTACAGAAAGAGCAAGGTGGCTGGGTCAGCTGGCCCCACAGGGGCGGGTTAGGCAGTGTGAGATGGCGGAGAGCGTATTTAAAACAATAGATTTCCCTAAATGACTGTTAGTTTTGGAAAATAACAGCTTTTTCTTTTTTTACCTTTAACAATTCAAAATAAATACAAAGTATGCATAACTATCATAGATTAAGCAATATTTTGTGCATGTATATATGTAGAATAAAGTTTAAGAAATCCATTTAACTTCTAAGTACTGGACTGTCATGAGTTTTATGAAATAGTGTTCTTAAGGAAAATATGTGAATGGAATATGATTCCTGTAGAGGAAGATAATGACAATTTTCAGATTCAAAGGAAGCACGCTTCCTAGTTTATGAATATCTGAGGATATACAGAGAACAACAAACTTTACAGTATTCAGTTCTGGTCATCAGTAAGTATAAATGATGATGTCAGTATTCATTGGCTCAATTTCAAAATGCTGAAAATTCAACGATACAAAGGTTGGGTAGTATTAACACGCAGTCAGTGTGTCTGTAAGCGAGCGGTCTTGGCCATGGTGAGATTGTCTGGCCTCTGTTAAGATTCGTCATAATGAACACTGTGCAAATGGTTTCCAGCAGCAGCACCCTTTAAAGTTACCTTAATTTTTCTTTTCTGCCAGAACTCGAAAAACAATACTCTTGAGCCACTTAATACTAGAGTTGTTTAAAATTTGGTGACATTTTCCTTGAATATCCAGAGTGAAACATGAAAATGTAGAAGGATGGCTGTGGAAAATGTGGACTTCATCATATTTAGTGGCCGTTTAATTGGAGCCAAATGATAAATCCTTTTCTGAGTCTTGGCAAAAACAATACTGAAAGTACTTTCTTTGTAATAATTGCCCTTCGAAATTCTGGAACATTTTTGCTCTTATTGTTTCTATCCTCAGCCTTGACTCTGAACCGCATTCAGTGATGATCTTAGTTTGAATAAGAATTCATAGATTTGAAAAGTGTATATAGACCCCAACTTGGTGTATCCATTTTGCAGTATACATTATTAAATTTTATATATTGTGGGAGAATACTTTATTACAGTTCTAATGCTGAAATATTCAAAATTATAAAGGTAGGTACACATTTTAAACTATTTAACAAAGTGCTTTTCTGTTGTGTTGGTCTTTTGTGGCAGAGGTTTACTTTATATTCAGTTTATGATTTCTGTAAACGAGTATGGAAGACTCAAACATTATTTAGATCTCTCTTGGACCCATAATGGCAGACGATGATTACTGTCTTAGGCTTGACTCTGGAGCTAGTAGTACACTAGGCTCAGGAAAATGGCACGGTGTGGACCTACAGAGTGCTGAAGCAAGGGTTTCTTGCCATCTCGTAGGGACTACCCCACACACAGCGAAATGGGAGCTTTGCGAGCATTCTTACTGCACCTGAGGCAGCATCCTTGGGGAGTGATTTCCCCGACCTTGGTATCCTTGCCTCTTTTTGAGAGTCCGGCTGCTCTGTGAGAATTCATAACTAGTCTACATTTATATAGCTGAAATGTCCTACAATAGCTTCATTGATACTTGATTTCCATAGAAAAGCTTTATGGATTCTAATGAGTCACAGCTCTTGAAGCACCAGCCTGCCCTCCTCCTCTTCGTCCCTCCTCCCTCCCTATCTGTGACTGGCTTTGTGTCCTGGATTGTACTGATTGTGCCTTTGGATGACAACTTACTTGAGTGATGGGGGGAGGCAGAGTAAT